CACACAAAAAATAAATAAATAAATAAATAAATAAATAAATACATACATACATACATACATACATATATATATATATATATATATATATATATATGCCCTTCTAAAATATTTTTTGGATCGAAACCACATAGACAAAATGCGCAAATTAATGGAAGATCGATGGTAAGAATTTAACAAAAAGGCCAAAGATTGGGGACTAAAATAGCCTATTTAACCTTTTATTTATATCTATAATCAACCTACAGAGTTTAAAAGGAGCTTTTTAGCTCCTTTTTTGGCCAGACAGTATAATTTCAGACATGCAATCCAAGACATCTTCTTATTTAGCAAACCTATTGCAGTTTTGCATAGACAACAAAATCCACAAGGCTAGAAAAATCTTGCATGCCTACCTTCTTCGCACCAACCAGTTTTCGAACACTTTCCTCGTTAATCGGCTGATCGAGCTCTATTCAAAATGTGGGCACCCAACTTCCGCGCACCTCCTGTTCGACCAATTGTCCGCAAGAAACATATACACTTACCACGCAGTTTTAGACGCCTATTGCAAATCAAATGACATAGACAATGCGTATGAAGTGTTTGCTCAAATGCCTGAGAGGAATAGTGTAACGTGGAATTTAATAATTACCGCGTTATCGCATAATGGTTTTGAAAAGAAGGCTTTGGAGAATTTTTATTTGATGATGATGGGTGGTTTTGTGCCAACACGCTTTACGTTGGCAAGTGTTTTAAGCGCTTGTGGGGGTGTGAGTGACGTGGGGTGTGGGAAGGAGTGTCATGGTGTTGCTATCAAACTCGGGCTTGAGGGGAATTTTTTTGTCGGCAATGCTTTGTTGGGAATGTATGCCAAATGCGGATTTGTTTGGGAAGCGATTGAGATTTTTAAGGGCTTGCCAGAGCATAATGAGGTGACATTTACTGCTATGATGAAGGGGCTAATGGAAACAGACCGCATCCACGAAGCATTTGACATGTTTAAGTTGATGCATAGAGTAGGGATCAGTATTGATTCTGTGTCACTGTCAAGTGTTTTAGGTGTTTGTGCTAAAAGTAGTTTTGAAGATTTTGTTGTAGTTAATGACAATGATAGGAATTGGTATAATGTACATGGGAAGCAAATACATGGTCTTGTTATTAAACTCGGATTTGAAAGAGATCTGCAATTAAATAATTCACTGCTAGATATGTATGCAAAACATGGAGACATGGAGTGTGCTGAAATGTTATTCGATAATATGTCTGAAGTCAGTGTTGTTTCATGGAATGTTATGATAGGTGGGTTTGGCCAGAAATACAGTAAGGAAAGAGCGTTGGAGTACATGGAAAAGATGAAGAACCATGGATTTGAGCCCAATGAGGTTACATATGTCAATTTACTTGCTGCGTGTGTGAAAAGTGAGGATGTTGAAACTGGGCGTCAGATGTTTGATGATATGTCATGCCCAAGTTTGAGCTCATGGAATGCTCTACTATCAGGCTATTCACAGAACGAGCACCATAAGGAGGCAGTGATGCTTTTTAGAGAAATGCAGTTCAGAAATGTCCAACCTGATCGAACGACTTTTGCAATTGTTCTCAGTTCATGCGCACAAATGGGGCTTTTGGATGGTGGAAAGCAAGTTCATGCTGCCTTATTGAAAGATGTGGCTTATACTGATTTATATGTTGCCAGTGGGCTCATTGGTTTGTATTCCAAGTGTAGTAAGATAGAAATGGCAAAACACGTTTTTGATGAGCTGCCCCAGTATGACGTTGCATGTTGGAATTCCATGATAGCTGGTTTATCTCTCAATTCATTGGAAGCAGAAGCTTTTATTTATTTCAAGCAAATGCTAGGAAAAGGGATGTTGCCAACTGAATTTTCTTTTGCTACTGTACTGAGTTGTTGTTCGGCTTTAACATCTTTGTCTCTAGGGAGGCAGATTCATGATCTGATAGTAAAAGATGGATTTGCAGTCGATGTTTATGTAGGGAGTGCACTTATTGGTATGTACTGTAAATGTGGTGATGTGGATGGGGCCCAGCGGTTTTTCGACACGATGCCCTGCAGAAACACTGTGACCTGGAATGAGATTATTCATGGTTATGCACAAAATGGACGTGGAGATGAAGCTGTTCATTTATTTGGAAACATGATTCTAACTGGCACCAAACCCAATGACATAACCTTTATTGCTGTTTTAACAGCTTGCAGTCATTCTGGATTGGTAGATTCTGGAATAAAAATATTCAATTCGATGCAGCAAGATCATGGTTTAGAGCCACTTGTGGAACATTACACTTGCATTATTGATTCTCTAGGTCGTGCTGGTCGGATAAATGAAGTAGAGGCACTTATAGATAAGATGTCGTGCAGCGACGACCCAGTTATTTGGGAGGTCTTGCTCAGTTCTTGTAGGGTTCATGCTGACGTAAACTTAGCAAGGAGGGCAGCGAATGAGCTTTTCCGCCTGGATCCAAAGAATTCTGCCCCATATGCACTTCTTGCCAGTATTTATTCATCTTTAGGAAGATGGGATGAAGTGAAAGAAATCAGAGAAATGATGATAGAAAAGCAGGTTTCCAAGGATCCAGGTTATAGTTGGGTTGAACAGAAAACCAGATTGCATACTTCCATGGGTATTTATATGAGTTGAATCTGATCATGACGGATTATGGAGCAACAAATGGCGAAGAATCTTTCTTGTGCCTGACTCCTGGTGCAATAATCTCTATAACTACTGTCCTTCCTTCCTCGTGCAGAATGCAGGGACAACAAATGTTTCCTTAGGTTGCCAAGACCAGCACTGTGAATATGTGAAAATTCTATTTTACAACAGGTATATCTCTCTACTCGGGATGACCAAATCGTAAGCTGGCTTGAGTTCTTTTCTTCTCACTTTCCTCTTGAACTGATTCTTGTGATTGGCAATGTTTTTTCATGGAACGCGGAAACTTGTTAGTCTTGGAATTGAATTCGTCGTGCAGGGATGACTTCCGGGGGAGGGCAGAAATATTTTTCGTCTTGGTCTTGTGACACTATTATTCTAAATGCCTTTTTCATTGTTGCAATTGTTCTTTCTTTATGCAATTATTTTCATTTAAACTGAAGGATTTACTCTTAAGCTTTCCATAGTTTGTCATGATTTGTTCATGCCTATCAATATTTTGTTCACTTCGAGAATCATCCATGACTAAGCCATTTATCTGTATTTGAGCACTAAGTTGCAATGACTGACAGAAATTATTTTATTAATTTGGCAGGTACCTGGCAAAATAGGTTAATTGCTTTAGGTATCTCTCTAGCAATGGGCCGAGGGGAATGGCTCAGACTTGACCAATGCTTGCTAGATTAAAGTTATAATTTCCTTACAGCCGAGATTTTAAAAATCATCACCTGTATGTCATTTATTTTGCCGATGGTGTATCTTATATGTACTCCAGTTTATTCTAAGTATCTCGGTGGTGTAATGCCATCGACTTATTGAGAAAAAGAAAGATCACCTTGATCTCTTGTTTCGGAGAAATAAGCGGCGCACGAGGAATGGACAGAAATATATTCTATTTGATTTCGAAGTCCTCATATAGCACTTCTTTTGGCACTAATGTCAACATGACGCACGTTGTGTACGGGATCCCCTGTATTGCTCTTTCCATGTGGCTTTGGGGCCTAGGATCCAAGAATGCTTTTGCCCTGAATTGGAAAATCAAGAGGCATGCAGCTGCTGCAAAGCCAACGTGATGCTCCTTGAACACATGAATAAGATATTACCACACGTGATCGAGAAAAGATGCATAAAATCAAATGAAAACCATGGAAGGGAAAAGTAGACACTCAGTCATACTTCAAAGTTGTTGATTGGAATGGAATTTGACGTGCCAGATTTGGTAGATTACATCATATGCTCTAGTTGAGATCAAGTAGATTTCGTGGAAGCTTCTGGGAACGTTGTTTGAAGTTGCATAAAAAATGGAATTTGTATGACCCTAGCATTGATACCTTCATTTTTATTTTTCTCTAATGTAATCGTAGTTGATTGTAATTAACTGATTTATTTTATGTAAAATCTCTATTTTTAAACCAATGTTTAAGTGAAACTGTTTTTCAATCTAGTGTTACTCAGAGCTTGTTTGAGCCCTATTATTTTCTAAAAATGCATTTTGAAATAATAGATTGATGGAGAATGTGTGATTAAAACATAAATACAAGTTTTGAATTTGCGTGTAATATTATTTTATTTAAAAATGCGTAGTTGAAAATAAAATAGAGAAAAATTTATTTTGAAAAAAATGGGGATCAAACAAGCTTGTATGGAATAGGTTGAAGTGTATGTGTTCAAAAATTTGTAATGTTAAGTGTATGGAATCAAAAATTCGTATGGATTCAAAAATTTGTAATGAAATTATTATTTTTTATGCAATTTCAAAATTTGTTCATAAGGAGTTATTTTCAATTTTACCAATCAATTTGCATAAATTGCTATAAAAATAAATAAATAAATAAATTTTGCAACGTTTTTTAAATGTTGCCGTATCCTATCACTCTACAGCAACACTGAGATTTACAACATTCGCCAAATGTTGCAAAAGGTGTTTGGCAACTTTTTTGAACGTTGCCATGTCCCCTTTTTGTTGTAGTGAAGGGTTAAATATAAAGATATAGGGTCCGTCTCTTTACCATTTTCAAATTGTTTTCTTTTTTCGATTTTTCAAAACAGTGAAAACATGCTCTCTTTCCTATTTTCGAAAACGCGTTTTTGAAAACAAGTAAAAATTTACAAAGAAAACCCAAAATGACAAATTTGTGATTTTGAGTGTTTTCAGTTATAATCAAGCCAAAATTTTCAAAAAGCGTTTTGTGTGTTTTCAAAACAATTTTTCAAAATGCTAAAAAAACATTTTCAACAATTTCAAAATGAACACTCAAAATGAATTCAAAACTCTAAATACAAAACTGAAATATAAAGAAAACAGCCCCTTAGTGTCTGTTTGAGCCTCATTTTCATTCTAAGAATATATTTTGAATTAGTAGATTGATGGAGAATGCATAATTAAAAAATAACGAAAAGTTATAGACTTGTGTGTAATATTATTTTATTGAAAAATGTGTGATTAAAAAGAAGAGAGAAAAAACTGTATTTTAAAAATAATAGGGATCAAACAAAGGCTAAGAATTTAATTGTCAAAAAAAGGTTACAAATTTGTTTTTACAAATTTATAAGTTGGAGACTTCCCTCACAAGTGAAAATAATTCAAATAAATATTTTTATAGCCATTGGAGCAAAATGGCATCTTCTTCTCATATTTGCCAATTCTATCCCAATATCCAACTAGAGCACGTCAAAAACCTGAATTTAACTTTCATTGTTACCAATTCATGAAATTGTGCACGTGTCGAACTTTCGATGAGAAAATCGAATTTGACATAAAAGACTTGCGGAACTCTAAATATAAATAAATGAACGTGATTCCTTTTAAAAGTATAAACTTTCCAACGGAGTAATTCTAGCACTTGTGCATGTCTCCCTGTCTACTACAGCTATCTAGTCGTCAAATAGTCAATCATCAAACCCAATGAGACCACATAATTAAACTAAAAATGGCTCATGCTTCTGGAATTAATCTTTCCATGTTCCAACCTCTATACAATTTATTAAGCTATGCCTTTCTAATGTCTCTGGTTTGCCCAAAATGGCAGACTCATTGTATCGATACGTAAAATACACGACTTTCAAATTTAGCAGGAAAGGGAGAAACATTGATACTTATATTATATGGATTCCGCAGAAGTCGAATTCAGTGAAAGTCATATGTACAACTTTTGAGAGAGATCTTTCATATTTATCAAGATCCACCTATAATATACGAAGAAAAACGCTTATACATAGGATATAAGGTCATTTTCAACCCCATACTTGTAATATCCACTTCTACAAATTTTGCATGAAAAATGAAGATAGAGCATCATCAACCCCAATGAGACCCCTGCAATTTTATCCATCTGATGGTATAGGAAACCTCAATTTACACAAACCAATGATCAAAATCACTATGCCTTCTCTATATAAACCCAATGAGCCCCCAACCCTTTTAACCAATCCAATATACTACAAATTTTCAAGGCTTTCAATATACTCCAAACAACTAATATAAAAAATGAAAAGCATTTTTTTCTCCGTGGTTCTTGTCCTCTCCCTTGTCTACTGCTTTTCTCTTTTGGGCAATGCAGCCATCCCATGTGGGACGGTTGACATGAAGGCAGCCACCTGTATCTCATTTGCCACAGGGAAGGATGCGAAGCCATCAGCTGCATGCTGCAGCGGCCTGCAACAGCTTGTACAGACCGTGAAATCTGTCGATGACAGGAAGGTCATCTGCCGGTGCCTCAAGGCCGGTGTCAAGAACTTTGCCGGAGTTCAGGACAAGTTTTTGAGCCAGATCCCGAATGCTTGCAAGATCAAAGTTGGTTTCCCAGTTTCCATGAACACAAACTGCGAAACGTAAGTGCCACCCAACTGATCAAAATTTTCATTTATGTATCGTAATAATATACGAAAAGGTCTAAATCGATTTTCTTGCAGGCTCCACTAAGGTTCGCGCTTTAGGGATGATCAAAGATTGCAGCGATGTTAGGAATGCAATAGCTGTTGAATAAGACGCACTGTTTTGTGCAAATCCTAGTGGATTATTCACTGTTACAGTGTATTGCACTATGCACTTAATTTGACTTTCAATTTAGAATAAAAAAGAGAAGTTTCATCTATTGCTCGTGCTAATCCATAAGATTCATTAACCAGTAACACGACCTCAGTAACTAAAATAAGTGGATTCAACAATTTTCTCAAATATTATCGTAGTTATCTTTTTGCACGAACAAGCAATAATTGCAATTGTTATCCAGAAACAAACAGTAACTTACGTACAATCTTCAGAATATAATCACCACGGAATCTCTTGACCATCCCAGGCGAAAAACTTGCCGTTGTCTGATGTCTTAGCATCGTTAATGATGCTCAATAGCTTCCGAACTGAGAACTCTTTGGTGAAGAGCTTGCCTTCTGGAATATTTCCCTGAAATGGTCTAGATAAATCTGTATCTACTGTGCCCCGATGCAATAAAGTGCATGATTGGATCTTTCTTGAGTGCAAATTCCACTGATACAGTTTTGGTCACTGCAAGCATCGATAGAATTGGGTTAAGACAATGAAGAAAGCATTATCACTTTCTCTTTTTCCTTTTCTGATTTGAGCCAATAGGATTTGATACATGAAAAAAAAAAAAAATATATCTCAACAATTAAGAAGCACTACTAAATATCATGTACTTTCTAACTAAAAGATTTTTCTGGTTATTTTCAAGTTTGAGGTTTATTACATAGAAGACAACAAATCAAAGAAGTCCTAATTTGAAAACGAAATTATCAAATCCAACAAAAAGGCAAATATTCACGCTGATTAAGAGCAGACTTAGATGCCCTATATGAGTGCCATCCTCCAAGAGGATTAACTCCAAAGATAATTCTATTTGTACCGAAAATAGTGTACCGAAATGTTGCACCCTCTCACATGCTCGCAGGGTCCGCGTGAATAAAAAACTCTCAAATGTGTGGTCCCCACACCCTATTGTTAGTGTAAGTAAAAGATTTGGTAAAAAATAGGGTGTATATCTAGCATTGTCCTAACTCCAATTGATCCGACCCTGGCAATGATGTTGGCAACGATAGTAAAATCTCTTCTTGTCCCAGAGCCACCTCCAACCTTGAGCAAGGGCCAGATGTGGTGTTCATATGAATCATAAATCATTAGGATTAGTTACAAAATAAGTTTCTGAATCAAGATAAGAATATAAGGATCGAAACTACTTTTCTTCATAAATGAGAACACTTTATTCTTTAGCAATTGCAATACAACACGTACTTGGTAATGCGACTGTGCTATATACTAAACTATAAATATGAGTAAACTGAGATATATATAATTTCTGATTAGCAATCCTGATTTCTGCCAAAAGTCATTTGTAACAGATAATGTACCTCAAAACTTAAATAATTGCACATGAAATAAGACAGTGCACCCCGAAACCTAATTTATCATAACTTTCTTAGCATAGACAATGAAAGAAAAAGAGAGAGACACATCTTGACAACCAAAATAGGATCAACGGCATTGATCTCATAAGCAAGAAGCAAGGATGCTCTCTGTACTTTGCTCAATGTTGTTTCTATACTGGAAGTGAACAAAATCATTTTACCGAGTCTAGAATAGAAACCAGTAAGCTAACTATAATAACACATTAAAAATCATTTCACTGTCATAAGGAATAAAGTTAAATGAGACTGATTTTGCAATATGCCTTTTTGGATAATTTCGATGTTTTCATTGAAAAGCAAAAATCCCAAAATAAGCATTAAATGAACAATATCTACCTGGCTTCATAACATCGGGATTTGAAAGAATGCCAGATGTTTTAACAAGAAGACTCAGTTTACCATATTTCTCTCTCTCGCGCTTCGCTGCTCCCTGAAATTTGACATATAGTGAGTATGAAGTGGAGATGGAATGTAGAAGACAAAGATGAGGGAAATTCTATCAATTCATTTCAAGCAAAAGATGGATACACACGGTTTCTTCATATAGCCATACATTAGTACAAATTCAAAATGATTTTCAACTACTATTCTACCTAACTCCACTCTAACCTTACTTAACTGAACATATGGACGGCTTGCAACACCAACTTGCATGAATTATAAAACAACTTAAGCTATCATAAGTTACAAAAATATATGTCAAGCTAAAGATAACAAAAACAAATGGTTTGACAACAAAAGTGTCACACATGACACAGTTTATTACTCCTCCTTGACACTTTTGTTGGAAACACCAAGACCATCTCTTAATGTTTCAAAACCTCTCCTTAGGCAAAGCTTTGGTGAAGATATCAGCAAATTGTTCTTCAGAGCTGCAATGCCTTAATTTCACTTCCTTCATCTTTTGTGCTTCCCTTATGAAATGGTACTTAATATTTATGTGTTTAGTCTTTCCATGGAACAATGAATTCTTCACAATTGCTACAGCGGATTGGTTGTTACAAAGAATGGTAGTTGCCTCAGTTTGTTGGTACCTCAAATCCTTCAGAATTTTTCTCAGCCATATTGCCTGATTGGTTGCCTCTGTTGCTGTTATATATTCTGCTTCAGATGTGGATTGTGCCACAGTCTTTTGTTTAATTGAATTCAAGCAAACAAGGCTTGAACCAGCATAGAAGGCATATCCTGAAGTACTCTTCATTTCATCAGCAGAACCAGCCCAATCACTATCAGTAAAACCTATCAAAACCAGTGTTTCCGATCTCCTGAAACCGATTCCATAATCCTCGTTCCTCTGATGTACCTCAACACTCTTTTTGCAGCTTGGAAGTGCATTTCACTTGGCTGTTGCCTGGATCTAGATAGCAGGTTAACTGCAAACATTACATCAGATCTTGTGGCTGTAAGATAAAGCAAGCATCCAACCAAGTTCCTATATATCTTTTCATCAGTTTTCTTTATACCATCATCCTTCATCATCTTTGAATTTTGAACTAAAGGAGTGTTAACTGATTTGCAAATTTTTCATATTTAACTTCTTTAACACTTCTTTAGCATACCTCATTTGGCAAACAAAAATACCATCCTCTATTTGATTAATCTCCATTCCAAGGAAGTATTTCATTTCTCCTAAGTCTGTCATCTCAAAAAAATTTCTTCAATTCATCCTTTACCTCTTCAATTAAGATTGCATTGCTTTATGTGATCAAAAGATCATCTACATAGAGTAAAATGATAAGCAAATCCTCCACCACTGGTTTGATATATAGTGTTTGTTCATTAACACTCTTGCTGAAACCAAGACTGCTGAAATGACTGTCAATTCTGCTATACCGACTCCTTGGGTGCCTGTTTCAAGCCATATAAGGCTTTCCTCAGTAAATACACCTTATCTTCTTCTCTTTCTTTGGTAAAGCCTTCACGTTGCTCAATGAAAATCTCCTCATTCAGATGCCCATTTAGGAAGGCAAATTTCACATCCAGTTGATATATCTTCCATTTTGATTGAGCAGCCATTGCAAATAACAATCTTATTGTTTCAAGTTGGTCAACAAGAACAAATGTATCAGTAAAATCAATTCCAAACTGCTGAGCATAGCCTTTTCAACTAGCCTAGGTTTGAACTTATTAATTGAGCCATTAGCATTCAACTTTGTCCTGAATACCCATTTAACTTCTATGACATTTTTGTTTCTTGGTCTGTCGACAAGCAACCAAGTGTCATTATTTTCAATTGCCTCAAGTTCCTCCTTCATAGCTTTTATCTAATCTTTGGAATGAGCTGCTTCATTATAGGTTGCAGGCTCCAAAATTGCAGAATTGCAGGTGGCATAAATATCCTGAAGTGACTTGGTTTTTATCACTTTATTTTCTAAATCTGATTCACCCTCAGGTTCAGCTTCTTCTCCCACTTCTTCATCATCATTACCAGCATATTCAGTTTGAGAAATCAGTCTTAGAGTCTGAGATTTATTTACAGTATTTGACTCCCAATTCCATGAAGAACTTTCATCTATTTTTGTAACGCCCCAAATTCTCGAAACCCGAAGCGTTAAAAGAAAAAATTATTTTCTTTGTTCGAACCCTTAAATGTTAAC